CCTGGGAGTATTTGATGGGGGACAATGTAGAGGGAGCTTTACTCTGTGTCATTGGAATTTCCTCCTTTAGCCTTGCGTTCATCCATAGTTCCAGCCCAACCTTTCCCCTCCTGGCTGAGTGTGGTATGCCCTATGTCACATCCTTCCAGTTAAAAGTTGTACATTAATGCCTCATTCTTTCTGTCTGTGATTTCACTCCTGGGAGGTGAAACTCAAATGAGCCTTTTGTTCTTTCTGCCCTGGATTTTCTGATGATTTCTGGCTCCCCAGGCGGACTTCCCAACCACGGTAGGGCTCATCAACCACGATGAGGCAGCTATGGAGATCGACGGTGAGAAGGATGCTAAGTCGGGGAAGACGTACTACATTGACACCAACTCCCTGCATGTTCCCAGGGAGGGTGTGGAGGTTATCTCCCCTCTGAAGAACGCAATGAGTGAGTGACTGTTTGGGAGAGGGTGGGGGGATGCCATAGACTCGACCATGCCCTATCCTGTGCCAGTCTCTCACCTAGGAGCTATCCTCTTCCTAGTGGGCTTCAGCGTTCAACATGGGCACTGTGTTTGGTGCTTGGTCAAGGCTGAGCCCAACCATTGAGTGTCAGCCAGCTATTCCTCTATGGGGGCCACCGCAGCTCGATCCCAACCCCCTCCCAGGCCTGTGCACCTGGTTTGACAATTCAGAACTGGTGCTAATTAAAGTATTGTTTGGAATAGAAGGAGACTTTGAGGCCCACACTTTGCCCCTTATGATACAGACAGCCATCTGCATAGCAACATTTCTGCCTTCTTTGCCAGAACCCATATTCTGCTAAACTTTTTTGTTTTATTGTTCAAGGCACATGGGTGTTACTGGCTGGGCCACTCTTTATTGCTCATCCCTAATTGCCCCTTGAGAAGGTGGTGATGTTATGGACCAGACCAAACCCCCTCAAAATGTATTCAGAAGATAGCCTAGACCCTAACATTTTCTTATTCTCAAGGCATGTGCCAGGCGTTGCATTCCAGTTGCAATTTGATTGGTCAAACTACCAGGCTTGAAGCAAAATACAATAAAAGAAGAAATTGGTATAACTTTAACTATTGGACAACTTAACAGAATAATAGATTATTTCAGTAATAAACAGTAACTGTTCCAATATACTAACATTCCATAAACACACCCTCAGAAAAGGCAAGATTCAGTAAGATAGATTGTCTCACAGGCAATTCTCCAGTCTAAAGGGAAAAAAAAATCAAGAGAAAACTCTGAGAGAGAGACAGTAGCAGGGAGAGATGTACTGCAGCTTCCAAACCCGGCTTCAAGACCCCAGCAACCGCTGCTGCAAAACTAAAACTAAAAGTCCTGGTCATGTGAGAGCTCGACCCCATTCAGGCTACTTCTAATGTTCCAACCTTAAAAACAACCCAAAGGCCTCAGAAGCTGTTTACTTTATTGGCTTTGAAGCACACCGATTGTCACCTCTGTCTCAGCCTTTCTTCAAAGAGAAAACCAGGACAAAATACAAAGCCATAGCATTTTTATACTAGTGAGCTGCCTACTTGAACCGCTGCAGTCCATGTGATTGTAAGTACGCCCACATGTGCTTTTAGGGACGGAGTTCCAGGATTTTGTCCCAGTAACACTGAAGAAACTGCAGTATATTTCCAAGTCAGAATGGTATGTGGCTTGGAGGGGAGCTTGCAGGATGTAGTAATCCCATGTCCTTCTCATCCTGGTGGGTTAACAATGTGATAATGACCAAATAATCTGTTTTCTTTGTGTGTTGCTTGTTGTAGAGTCATACAGCACAAAAATAGACCCTTTCGTCCAACCAATCCACGCCAACCATGTTCCCAAACTAAACTAGTCCAACCAGCCTGCGCTTGGCCCATATTCCCCCAAACCTTTCCTATTCATGTATTTATCCAAATGTCTTTTAAACTTTGTAACTGTACCCGCATCCACCACTTCCTCTGGACGTTCATTCCACACACTCTCAATGTAAAAAAGTTGGCCCTCATGTCTTTTTTAAAATCTTTCTCCTCTCACCTTAAAAACATGCCCCCTAGTTTTGAACTCCCCCACTGTAGGGAAAAGATCCTTGTTATTCACCTTATCTATACCCCTCATGATTTTATAACCTCTATAAAGATCACCCTTCAACCCCCTACGCTCCGGTGAAAAATGTCCCAGCCTATCCAGCCTTTCTTTATAACTCAAACTCTCCTTTCCTGGCAACATCCTGGTAAATCTTTTCTGAACCCTCTCCAGCTTAATAATATCCTTCCCATAACAGGGTGACCAGAACTGAACACAGTACTCCAGAAGAGGCCTCACCAAAAAGGTTCCATGATTTTTTTTTGGAAATAATGCCATGGAATCTTTCCTTGGCATCTGAGAGGGCTGACAGGACATTAGTTAGCGGCTAACTGGATAGATAGCACCTCAGGACTGCACTGAAGTATCTGTCCTGGGTTTTATGCACCAAAGCCTGGAGTTGGGCTTGAACGTGGGACCTTGTGATTCAGAGTGTAGAGTGCTACCAACTGAGCCACACCTGCCTTTCCCTGGGAAGAGATGAAGAACCAGGTTAAATGGGCATAGGAACAGGAGTAAGCCATTCAGCCCCTCAAGCCTGTTCCAGCCTTTAATGAAATCATGGCTGCACTGTGGCCTAACTCCCCTGAAGAGTCTGATCCTAATTCTCACAGTGCACGCTAGTGCTAGAATCTTTATTGACCCTGGCTCCTCCTGTTGATATCTTGAAAACCTCAATCAGATCACCCCCTAACCTTCCTAACTCTGGGAAAACAGACCTAATTTGCCTAATCTCTGATGATAATTTAACCCTTAAAGTCCAGGTATCAAACTGTAAACCTACGTTGTTCTCCCTTCCAAAGCCAATATATCCTTCCCAAGACTCCATTTTGGAAATCCCTCCCCAAGGGCATTGTGGGTCAACCCACAGCAGGTGGACTATAGCGGTTCAAGAAGGCAGCTCACCCCCCCGTTCTCAAGGGGCAACTAGGGACAGGCAATAAATGCTGGCCAGCCAGCGACACCCACATCCAACAAAATGAATAAATTAAAAAAGTTCTTTCTGGCCCTGATCGTTTTATGACTTCCATCCCAGTCAGAAACAGATCTAATTCCCACTCAAATTTAACATGTCAAGGGTAAAAACATATTTCCAGAAAATTCCTAAAATGTTTTTCAGGGCATTTTCGTTCTCAGCAACTCCTTTATTCGGTACTGCAATCATGTAGTAATTGACATTTGGGGTTAGGTGATAATTGGATTCGCCCAGAAGCAGAATTCAAAGACTTCACACATAGATTCATACTGCATGGAAACAGACCCTTCATTCCAACTCATCAATACCGACCAAGTATTCCAAACTAAACTAATCCCATTTGCCTGCGTTTGGCCCGTATCCTTCTGAGCCCAACCCTCCATCAAACCTAAAGCCATACAAAAAGGAAAACACTAACTTCCTAGAAACTGACACACAGGCATAAGATTGCAACAAGCTTTTTTTTAAAATAAATGACACACGCTTCTATATATAGAAATCCATCACCTTAAACTCACATATTGCAGACTGGTAAGGTCAAAGCTAATTGCTTGCAAGGTTGTCTCTAATACTGTCACTGCACCTCAAGTAGCTCACACAATGTCAAGTGCTTTTAGATGTGATAAATCTTTGTGAAATAAAACTAGTTTGTATTAAGTTATCCGGTTACAAAGTATTCAGTACATTAGCATCCACCACATATTCCCCATATAGTATCTCCTGAACTTCTGCAGCCTTAAGCTAGAAACTCCACATTCATTTGCAAGAAATTCATTAGCTTAGTGACTTACAGATTTCCTGATTCCTGGTTAGCTGAGTATTTCTTTGTTGAAAGGTTTAAAGCTGCTTGCTCCCATATACACCTTATCACCTGTCTGCAGCCCCTCTGTCCACTTTTGCAGTTCCCTCTTCTTCGTTTGCAGCCTTTTTCATTCCTTTCCAACTCCTCATTCCCTTTTTGCTGCCACCCTCTTCACTTTTATAGCTACATTTGGCCCGCAGGAGTCCCAGCCTCACTACTGTCTGCCTGCGGAATACCCCCACTCAGGTTCCTAGCCTTGCCGCCCTCACTCCCCCCTCCAGCCACACTTACCATGGACAGCCTCACTACGTCTAATTCACTGTGAGCCTATCAGCAGCAAATGCAAGAGAGAACCAGCTGGCAGTTGGGAGGGGCAGCTCGTCAGAGACTCTGACAGCTCCACGTAAGGAGGCGACATTTCTCTCACTGGTTTCCAAAATGGTTGAATTTTCCTGAGTGTTTTAGGGGCTTTCGAGGTGAATTCAGCACTTCTTCCTATGTGTTTTGAGCACTGATAAATATACATAACAAATACATGTAAAATTATAAAATAATAAACATGGAATACTAGCAGAAAACCCCATGGTGTTGTTCAGAGTTGAATTATATACAGCAATGGCTCATTGGTCTCGGGTATGATTCTTGCTTTGGGGCTTGTACATTGCAGACATTTTGAAATGTACCGGGTTCAAATCCCGGATGAGTCCTGATTGCTTGCCATCTGTTTTGGGGCAGCACGCTGGCTCAGTGGTTAACACTGCTGCCTCACAGCGCCAGGGACCCGGGTTTGATTCCAGCCTCAGGTGACTGGCCGTGTGAAGTTTGCACATTCTTCCTGTGCCTGTGTGGTTTTCCTCCAGGTGCTCTGGTTTCCTCCAATAATCCAAAGATGTGCAGGTTAGGGTGGATTGGCCATGGGGAAATGCATGGTAATGGGCATAGAGTGGGTCTGGGTAGGATGCTCTTCAGAGGGTCTGTTTGGACTCAGTTGGCCGAATGGCTTGCTTTCACGCTGTAGGAATTCTATGATTCTAACTACACAGTGCAGGAAGACATTTGGCAATCCCTGCCATTTCCCCTCAGTCATGTATATTTTCCCTTCATAAGCATTTGTACAATTGTGGACTAAATGTGATTACTTAATCTGTTCCCACTGCCCTTTCAGCCAGTGCTTTCATAGGTTAAAGGACAGAAACATTATACAGTTGCCCACAATGTACAATGTAATTTCCTGCTGTTAAAAGGAGAGTGTGTGCCTTTTTAAAATCAGAAGGATAAAACCGTTGTTCAGTAACTTCCAGCAGAGGTTATTTGGAATTTAATTGTCTTTCTGCGTGCTTGCTTACTGTAAACCCCTCTTTGTCCTCTCGTTCTGTCTCTCACCTATCTTGCCTTTACCCTCAATCCCTGTGCTTTTCTCAGGAGTTTCTTTTTGTATATTTTTTTTCACTAATCATTCTTCCTGTCCATGTTTCTTGATGTCTTACTGTGATCTTGACCTCTCTCTCCCTTTCTTCCATCTGTCTCGTTTTTTTTCTGAGGAGGGATGCTGTTGCTCTCGAGGGAATACAGCGAAGGTTTACCGGACTGATTCCGGGGATGGCAAGACTGACATGAGTAGAGATTGCGTGGATTAGGATTGTTTTCGCTGGAGTTCAGATAAATGAGGGGGGATCTCATAGACACTTATAAAATTCTAACACGACTGGACAGGGTAGATGCAGGGAGGATGTTCCCGATGGTGGGTGCATCCAGAACCAGGGGTCACAGTATGAGGATTTGGGGTAGATCATTTAGGATGGAGATGAGGAGACATTTCTTCCCCCAGTGAGAGGTGAGCTGTGGAATTCATTACCACAGGAAATAGTTGATGCCAAAACATTGAATGTATTCACGAGGCAGCTAGATACAGCACTTGGGGCAAATGGGATAAAAGGCTATGGGGAGAAAACAGGATTAGGCCTTTGAGTTGGATGACCAGCCATGATCGCAAAGAATGGTGGAGCAGGGTCAAAGGGCCGAATGGCCTCCTCCTGCTCCTATCTTCTATGTTTGTCTCTCTTTCATTCTCTGTCTCATTCTTTCCTGCTAGTTCTCTCCCTTTCTCCTGTTTCTATTTCTCTTCTCTTATTTATCTTTCATTTCACCCTTTTCTTACTTTTACTGTTCTTCCCTGTCTCTCCCTTCGTCTCTTTCTTGTTTTAAATTTTGACCTTCCCTGTGCCTCTCTTTCTACCTCTGTCTCGATATTGCTTCACTGACCACATCCCTGTGCTAACACTCCTGTCCTGTTTCCCTACAGTTGAGGACTGGGATTGCTTCCAGGCGATTCTGGATCACACTTACACCAAGCACATCAAGTCGGAGCCAAACCTGCATCCTGTTCTCATGTCAGAAGCACCGGTGAGCAGAATGCAATCTGAAACCGGGGGACTGAGGACTGGTAGCCTAACCTGGAAAAGTTACAGTCTGGCTCAGATGACATAAAAAAGATCACTTAGTAAATATCACTATTCACTCAAGGGTCAGCATCTATTGGTCATCCCTAACTGGCCCTTGAGAAGCTGCTGGTGAACTGCCTTCTGGAACCACTGCATGTCTGTGTGGTGTAGTGCAGTCAGGGAGGGATTTCCAGATTTCGACCCACCGACACTGGAGGAATGGCTCATATGTTCCCAAGTGAGCTTGACTATTCCATCTCTCTCCTGCTCAGTCTCCCAATTTCCACCCTGGATAAACTTCAGTTCCTCCAAAACTCAGCAGCACGCCTCCGCCCTTGCATCCTAACTCCCACTGAATGCTATCTCCCCATTCCAAGAAAGCACAACAACACTTCCACTTCCTCAGGAGCCTGGGGAAATTAGAACGCCCATAAAGACTCTTACCAATTTTAATAGAAAGCATTCTATCCAGATGGATCATGCTTGGTACAGCGACAGCTCTGCCCACGACCGTAAGAGACTACAGAGAGTTGTGAACACATCCCAGTCCATCGCACAAGCCACCTCCCATCCACTAACTCCATCTACACTTCCCGCTGCCTTGGGAAGGCAACCAACATCATCAAAAACTCTCCCACCCCTTCCAACCTCTTCCATCAGGCAGAAGATACAGAAGTTTAAACGCCCATACTGACAACCCGTATCAATGTTGATCTTGCTCTTTGCGCACCTTCTCTGCAGCTGTAACATTGTATTCCTCGCTCTGTTCTATTACCCTAATGCACTTTGTATGGTATAATCGGCCTGTACCACACGCAAAACAAAACTTGTCACTGTATCTAGGTACATGTGACATTAATAAATTAAATCAAATCCAATCATCCCTTGTGTTTGATGACCCATACTGGCTTCTAACTGGTGACTCCTCAGTTTTAAACTTCTCATCCTTGAGTTCAAATCCCTCCATAGCATCACAACCCACAACTGGACTCCTCAAATCCCAGCCATCCAATCAAATCAAATCAAATTTTAATGGAGGTGACATGATGGCTCCGGGGTTAGCACTGCTGCCTCACAGCGCCAGGGACCCAGGTGTGATTCCAGCCTTGGGCAACTGTCTGTGTGGAGTTTGCGCATTCTCCCCGTGTCTGCGTGGGTTTCCTCCGGGTGCTCTGGTTTCCTTCCACAGTCTGGAGATGTATGGGTTATGGTGGGTTGGCCATGCTAAATTTTTCCGTAGTGTCCAGGGATGTGCAGGTTAGGTGGGTTAGCCATGGGAAATGCAGGGTTACAGGGATACAGTAGGCGGGTGGGTCTGGGCGGAATGCTCTTCAGAGAGTTCGGTGTGAATTCAATGGGCCGAATGGCCTGCTTCCACATTGTAAAGGATTCTATGATGATAATCACTCCATGAATGGAGACTGTGCCTTCAGTTGCCTGGCTCCTAAACTCTGGAATTTCCTCCCCAACCCTCTCCACCTCCCTCCTTTAAGGTGGTCCTTGAAGCCTTTCTCTTTGACTAAGCTCTTAATCCTTTATTCCTTAAGAAATAGAAGCAGGAATAGGCCATTCAGCCCGTCAAGCCTATCCTCCCACGGCTGCTCTGTTTTAGGCCTCAACTTCTCTTTCGTGCCATCTGCCCAAAGCTCTCAACTCCCTGATATTTCATCAATGTATCCATCTCCTCTTTAAATACTTCCATCAACCTAACCTCTACAATTCTCTCCGATCGAGAATTCCAGACATTCACTGCCCTCTGACAGAAGAAATTCCTTCGCATCTCGGTTTTAAATGAGTGCCCCCCCTTATTCTTAAGTTCATAAGATATAGGGGCAGAATTAGGCCATTCAGCCCATCGAAGTCTGCTCTGCTGTTCGATCTTGGCTGATATGCTCCTCACCCTCATTTTCCTGCCTTCTCCCTATAACCCTTCAACCCATTACCAATTAAAAATCTAACTCCTCCTTAAATTTACTCATTGTCCCATCATCCACCGCACTTTGGGGTAGTGAATTCCACAGATTCACAACCCTTTGGGAGAAGTACTTTCTCCTCAACCCTGTTTTAAATTTGTTACCCCTTATTCTGAGACTATGACTATGACTCCTCATCCTAGAATGCCCCACAAGAGGGAGCATCCGCTCCATGTCTACTTAACTATACCTTTTATCATATTGAATATCTCAATTTGAGCTCCCCTCTTTCTTCTAAATTCCAGACAGTATAGGCCTAAGCTGTTCATCTCTTCATACGACAAACCCCTCATCTCTGGAATCAATCTAGTGAACCTCCTCTGAACTGCCTCCAATGCCACTATATCTTTTGTCAAATAAGGGGACCAAAACTGTGCACAATGCCTTGTATAGTTGCAAAAATACTTCCTTGCCTTTATATTGTATTCCTTTAGCTATAAAAGCCAACATTCCATTCGCTTTCTTTATTATCTGCTATATCTGCATGCTAGTTTTCTATGACTCATGAACGAGGACACCCAGATCCCTCTGCACAGGAGTAGCCTGAAATCTCTCCCCATTTAGATAGTAGGTCGCCTTCCCATTTTTCCAACCAGAATTCATGACCTCACATTTAATCACGTTAAACTCCATCTGCCACATTTTGGCCCACTTTCCTAACCTACCTATATCCATTTGTAAGGTTCTTATTTACTCATTGCAAATTACCATCCTGCCTATTTTTGTGTCATCCACAAATTTGGCTATCCCTGTATCTAAATCGTTAATGTAGCTTGTAAATAGCTGGGGTCCAAGGACCAAACCCTATGGCACTCCATTAATTACTACCTTCCAGAAAAAAAAACATTTATCCTGACTCTCTGTCTTCTGTCCATCAGCCAGTCACCTGTCCAAGATAATAAATTGCCCCTAATCCCATATGATCCAACCTTGTGAATTAACCTTTCGTGTGGCACCTTATCAAATGCCTTCTGGGAGTCGAGATATATCACATCTACAGGATCCCCATTATCCACTTTGCTAGTTACATCTTCGAAGAACTGTAGCAAATTAGTCAAACATTATTTGCCCTTCATAAATCATGCTGACTCTGATGGATAGCATTTTGACTTTCCAAATATCCTGATATTGCTTCTTTGATAATTGATTCTAATACTGTGCCAACAACAGATGGTAAACTAACTGGTCTATAATTTCCCACATGTTGTCTCCCTCCCTATTCTGTAACTATATCCCACAGTTTGAGATTCTCCCATGAGTGGAAACATCTCCTCAATATTTCCCTGTCAAGCTCCATCAGAATCTTAGATGTTTCAATAAGATCCCTGTAATTCTTCTAAACTCTAATTACTAAAAGCCAAACCTGTTTACCCACTGTCGATAAGGCAAACCCTTCATCCCAGGAATCAGCTGAATGAATAGCGTCATAGAGTCATACAGCACAGAAACAGACCCTTTGGTCCAACTAGTCCATGCCGACCATAATCACAAACTTCCAGCTCTGCTGAAGAGTCATACAGACTCAACGTTAGCTTTCTCTCTCTCCATGGATGCTGCCTGACCAGCTGTGACCTCCAGCATTTTTTGGTTTCAGTAATCCCAAACCAAATTATTCCCTGCCTGCGCTTGGCCCTTATCCCTCCAAACATTTCTTATTCATGTACTTATTCAAATGTCTTTTAAACATTGTAACTGCACCCACATCCACCACTTCCTCTAGAAGTTCATTCCCCACACAAACTGCTCTTGTGTAAAATAAAATTGCTCCTCATGTCCTTTTTAAATCTTTCTCCTCTCACCCTAAAAATATGCCTTCCAATTTTGAAATCCCCCACCCTAGGGAAAAGACATCTCCCATTCACCTTATTTACACCCCTCATGATTTTAAATATGTGACTGACCTGTATCTTAGCTCGGTCTTACTGTCCTGTGAGCCAAGGCTGGGTCTCTGCAAACTGGAATGTGGAAGGATAAAGGTGATTGCTTTGAAATAGATTGGATTCTTAAGGGGCTGGACAGGGTAAGAGGATGTTTCCCCTCATCTCTTATGAAATATCTTCAAGGCTAGTGCGTGCTTTCTTAAACATGGCGATGTTGGTGAAGACAGCGTTTCTTACTCACACCCGTAAACTCAGCGGTGTGCTGTGCTACTGCAGAGTGCATCACTGTTGTCTGGAGTCACATGTAGGCCAGACTGGGGAAGGTCACCAGATTTCCCTCCTTGAAGAGCATTAATGAGCTTTTTATGATAGTTGATGATGTATGTCATGGTCACCATCAGTATGAGTAGCTTTATATTCCAGATTTATTAATTTAAAATTCAAGATGACACGGTGGGATTTGAACCCATGTTTCTAAAGCATTAGACTAACCCTCTGGATTACTAGCCCAGTGACATTATCATCATGCCACTCTGCATTTTGTGGGTCAGATTTTGACTGATAATATTCCTATGAATTACCGTGGGGCTGTTTTGTTATATTGAGGTTGCAATGTAAATGTAAGTTTTTTTTTGCTGGGATCTCAAGGGGCTGTTGTCTATTTCAGTGGAATACCAGGGCCAAGCGTGAGAAGTTGACCGAGCTGATGTTTGAGCACTACAACATCCCTGCCTTCTTCCTCTGCAAGACCGCTGTGCTTACTGCGTATCCTTCAGACAGCCTGAAGCTAGGGTACTGCCCCTGTTTACAGCAAAGCCCCATAGGCTTGCTTCTGGGAGCCTAGCCATTGTGAGATCCTGTCTGGAATGTGATCCTGACTGTGCATCCCAGTCTGAAACGTGATCCTGACTTGTGCATCCCAGTCTGAAACGTGATCCTGACTTGTGCATCCCGGTCTGGAACATGATCCTGACCATGCATCCCGGTCTGGAACGCGATCCTGACAGTGCTCCCCGGTCTGGAACGTGATCTTGACCGTGCATCCTGGTCTGGAACACGATCCTGACCGTGCATCCTGGTCTGGAACACGATCCTGACCGTGCATCCCGGGTCTGGAACACGATCCTGACAGTGCTCCCCAGTCTGGAACACGATCCTGACAGTGCTCCCCGGTCTGGAACACGATCC